TAAAAAATACAGTTTTCAATTGTATATGTACGATCAAGTTTCAAGTTTTTAACGAACTCAAATAAAATAGTTTATACATAGAATATAATTAAATGGTAAAGACAAGCTCCGAATTTAGGCGAAAGTTATGTAAAATTTTGAAAACAATGATTTTTAGAACTAAAACTATTTTTGACCCCAAAAGAATAAGTGTTTTTCAAACTTTTAAAAGAATAAATGACAATACTTTAGATTGTCCAAATTTAAATTTTATAAAAAAAATTAATAAAATCTAATAATAAAAGTATATATATCATAGAGTAATAATTTGAGTCAATAAATTTTTTAAAGAAATTATTTCGAAGACGGAAACTATAATATATAATTATTTAGTTATTATTTATTGTAATGAAAAATTAAACAAAAAAAGTAAAAAAGCATAGAATTGAAGAATTGAACCCCACACCTCTAATGCACAAGATGGCCCCTTCTACCATGTAAGCTACACTTCTTGTTGTTGAATAATGGTATAATTATGAATTAATATTTAGTTATTATTTACATGTTTAAAAGGAAAATGTTGTTGGAAAGAGTCGAACCCGGGAATTGAACGTGGAAGGAGTCTTCTCCTCCAATTGACCTGCGAGCTATAGGAGTGACATTTTTCCAATAACGTATATATAATATTATTTTCATATTTCTTAATTAATTTTTTTTCCCGACGAATCCAGCACGGGCGGCTGCCCCGACTCTCCGGGTACTGGGTCCGCCCCTGAGTCAGTACATTCTTATGATCATAAAAATAGTTGAATGAAGTTTCCAAGAAACTCCTTTTGGTCTTCCCTTTTTTCTTACAAACTTTGCTCTGATTCTTTATTTTCAAATCCCAATCCGTTATACTTGAGGATTTGAATACAAGCATAAATCAACTAACATTTAGACATAACGACCGTAGAGAAAAATTAAAATTTTATGCATTGTATTGTATTGTCTAGTATTACGTACTAAACGTGCTCGTAGAGAAAAAATATTATATCTCATTCCCTGCAAAATGTTTTACCGTGAATCCAACTTTCTCAAACTTCCCTTTCTCACTGCTCTCTCTAAATCTCAAATAATCCAAACAAATGAAGGGCTTATACAACCTCGATTCTCCTTCATCCACGACTTCTTTTGGAGCAAAAATCACCTTTTCATCTTCAAAACACCAAAAGAAAGCAATGGAAAATCGATTAGCATGTCGTCGTAGAACTACTCTGTGCTCAGATGACCTAAACTTCCCATTGCTCCATGCTTGCATTAAGTCACCGATGTTAACGACAAGCGCGTCTTCACACGGATTAATGTCCATCCATTTACCTTCCTTAGACCTCACTTGGAGGCCACCATTTTCATCTTGATAAACTAGGGTTATGCAACTCATGTCAGTATGCATTCCAAGCCCTTCAACTTCTTCTTCTTGTATGCATTCAGGTGGGGAGTAATTGTTTAGTCTTAGATAGCCATGACAATTCTTGAACTCAGATATGAATTTCATCTCTAAATTAGGGCCCAAACACATAAGAATCATCTCCAGGATTGATTTTGATAAGTGTACCATTCTGCTTCCATACTCTTTTAGTATTTCACTGATGAAAAAGCAAGAGGAAGAAAACAAACACAATAATCAAAGACGGGAAGGTACCTATAAACACGAAAAGTTTTGGGCTTATGCATTTCAACAAAAACTATCTATGATCAGATAATTTCAATATTGACTCACGAACCAACTCATCTAAAAGCCTAAGTAATTATAGAGGAAAAGATTTTATTCATTTATTGTTATAATGTTCTAGCTTCAACACGCTCCTTCACACACATGTCGATTTAATTTTATCGAAGGTCTAGCATGTAAAATACTCATATATAATAATGGCAATGAGACTTGAACTTTTAATGAGAAGGATTTATTCATTTATATTTTCTCATTAAAAAATCTAAAAATATCATCCCTATTAGTGTATATACATTCTATCACCCTTATAGTAATTTTGGAGGCAATTCAAGTTTCTATGTCAGTCTATACACTGTTTTACTCTCAGATGCGATTTCTAATGATACTTGATAAATAGTTCAGGAATCCTCAGACCAATCATAAAAGTACAATTACTATTTCTTTAATATTTTATCTGTATTTCTCACCTGAAATCATCATCAGAGAGGTTGAGGAGGACTTCTGAAGAACTCTTTGCAGAAGCAAAGAAATCCGGTCCTGACACGCGTAAACTCTCAAAGAAAGGCGAGGCAATAAACTGTGGAGTATAAGTTTTTATGGTTGATGAAGGACCTGCTTTAAGTTTAACCTGTGGAGGAAGACTGAAAATATGACTTGAAAGTAAGGAGATTTTTTCATAAAGATCTTTCGAAATTCCATGGTTGGTTATGTGAAAGAAACCCCACTCTCGACAGGCTATAGAGAGAGCTGAGAGAGAAGATGGTGTCAAGGGCTGTGAAATGTCAAAAACAGGGAGATCTAAGGGAGATTCAGACATTATGTGAGAAATTAAGGTAGTTTGTTTCTGTTGGAGCTTTAAATCGAAACCAAAATAAGGAATATTAATAGAGAGACAGACAGGTACTCTTGATGAAAAGGACAAAATAGATGTGAATACCATTAATCCTGCAACGCTGAGACTAATCACAGGTCAAGAAAATGTGGAAATGCATCATCTAAAAGCTTAAGTAGTTAGAGATGAGTTAAATATATTTGTTTTAAGTTCTGACTTTGCACGCTCTTTCAAGTGTAGACAAAATTCTGTTTTCATCAGAGGACTAATAAGTGGAATTTTCATTAATGGACAGTGACTATCTATGAACTCGAGACCTCTGCGTGTATTCATATAATATTGAACTTAGCTCATCTAGAAGCTCGAACCGTTAGAGAAGAGACTATTTATAAATTTATTTAAGTTCAATTTAGCTTCAACTGAAAAGGGCCTATAGCAAAAATTATTTGGGAGACAACCTTTAAACTACATAAAAAATAGCTGATTTGCATGCCTATACAAAGAAGGTTTGGCATTGCAGTTGGGCTTTCACACAAGTTTTCATCTAAAAACTTAAGCCCCGAACGGGGACCTGCAGAATAAATTCAGTTTTCACCAAAAGACCTACAGAGATAATCTTCACAAATGAGGAGCTGCCTGTTCAAATATCATATTAAACAACTTTATCTAACGTCTTAAACTATTAGAGAAGAAACAGCTTTTTTCATTTAAAATTTGTCAAAGGGGCTGCTGCATAAATTATTTGGAAATTACAGCCTTTAAATGCATGCATAAGACATGATTTACATGCCAATAAAGTCTTTGTCTAAGACACAACTCAATAATCTAATGGTTTGACATTGTAGTTTGGCTTATTCACAGAATATTTTATCCGAAGAAGTGGAACTCAGTATAATGAACAGATGGGCAGCAGCAGGCAGGAATAATGGAGCTTTGCTGGTAATTATGCTTTGTCAAATCTACTATGCCTAGGCCCTTGAGTTTAGATTCTTTGATTAGAAGTTTTCTTTACAGAGTTGGAATCTTTTCCTATTTGATTCGAAACATCTAATTATGAGCAAGTTGAAGAGAGCTCTAACAGGCCTTGGAGGACCGAACTCGCGTATGTAGCAAAAATACAGATATGACTTGTGGACTTGGTACTAAATATTTATGCAAACAGATGAAGTTTTTATGAAAGGCTCTTGACTTTGTAGAATATTGTTGCCTTCTGTTGGGGGTTTGGAAGGGGGTGGGTATGCTATCTTTCTTAAATTCTAGACAAAAACTCAAAAGTTACTCCAGCAAAGAGGGCAGTTTTCCCCTCTAAACAATAATGGCAATGCATTGGATTGAACCTAAGAGATAAATTTTACATCGAATAATTACAAAAAAAAAGAGAGAAAAAAATAGATAAATTTGTAAGAGATTTGACTACTCCTCTTAATAATGATTACTTATTAAAATGAATCTCCAAATCTTTAATATGGTATCAAAGCCCATTACAATAAGTTCAAACGAGCAATTTGATCCGATTAAAACTAAAAAAATAACAAATGGGTTTCAAAATCACTTTTCAAAAATTCCATTTTATCAAAATAATGGCCATCAAACAAGGACTTAATATGATATCGAAACCCATTAAACTCAAACAAACAATTTTATTTGATTAAGATTTAAAATGACAATACGAATTTCAACATTGGTTTGCTCAAATGAGCCATCATTTGATTAAGATACAAAAATAAACACATCAATTTCAAATTTGATATGCTCAAAAGAGCCAATATCTTGCGAGGGCATGTGTAAGATAAATCTTACATAGCTAATTATCGACATATAAGGATTTGGATTACCCCTCTTAATAAGATTTACCTTTTAAAATGAAATTCCAAATTTTAATAAAACCAAACTCTACGAGTACGAAGATGGACCTATTTCTTATATGCGTTATTGGAGATAAAAGAGAGTAAAGAGCAGAATTGAAAAGACAGCGAGTTGACTTCGTTTTAGGAATTTTGCAAGAGTGGTTTTTAAACATTTTAACATAAGAATTATGCCACTTGTATAGGACAAGTGTCCCCCTGCCACTGGGGGACGGGGACCAAAAACCCCCACCCAATGGCAGGAGCAGGCTACTCGTACAGGGCTTAGCACGATAGCATAATTAGCGATCCCAAAGATTGATCTTTTAGCAATTGTGGAAAAGAATAACCATCAGGGGTCGTAATCAAAGTTTGTAGTCGGATAACTACTGACATTAGAGGAACTCAACTAGACAACTATCGAACTAAAAAAATTCAGCTCCAACTTGCTGTACTTCAGAGTGCCAGAGCACTTCTTTAACATTTAAATGTTTTGCAATCAATTCACAATAACTGTCTTCTTCAAAGTCATTTAATATCCAGGAATACATGACCATAAGAACATAGAACAATAGATTAAAGGAATGGTGCATGACGCATTTTAAAGGCTTGTGTTGGATAAGTTACCACATCATTTGGCTGTGAGGGGCTTTTTCAGCGTAATGTGACCAGACTCGTCCTTATCAAAAAGACGCTCAATCAGTTCATCCCAGTTATCCCGAGTCTTGCTTTTCATCGGTGACCCTGTAGAAGAACCTGTTGAATTTTCAGGATCTTCATTTTCAGCGAAGGTTCCATATTGAGAAGGCGAAAAGGCGTGAGGAACTGCCAGTGTAACTGCCCTTTGCAAAGCTGCATTGTACTCCTCGCCATGCTCCCTGGTTAAAGTTTCCTGCCGCTCCATCCTCTGTTTTGGTGGAATCTCCATGCTATGATCTTTCTCGAGCATCAACTGCATTATGGACAAGAGGGCATTTCAAATTTCTGGTGCAAAGTGTTTCTGAATGACACGCGCTTTCATGTGTTGAGGTTCGTGTATGCTGGAGGAAAATACATACATATAGACATAAACACACACACACACACACACATACATGAATCCTTCTGCAATATTTTTCTATGTTAGAGCGCCACTAGTAGGAGATGCCACAAAAACATGTGGGTGCGCGCGGGCATGTCTATATATGACTTCTGTAATATATTACCTACGCAGTACCGTTATGGGAAATGGAAATATGTTACACGAAAACTAGTGGGGCTAGAGTACAGTAGGTATCCTTTGCCTGCAGGTTCAACGACTTGAGTTACAGAGGCATGCATTTAATGGGAATCACGAACTCAAAGAAAATTTGACTTCTTTGAACTGGTTTTGTGTAAAATTATAAAAAAGAATTTCGCAATAGGTCCAAAAAAGTATGGCATAGTTCAATACAAGCTTGGAAGAAAAAATATATTATTTGGAGATCAAGAGAGTTTTGGGAAGAATGGCTTCATTGAAGTAATATGTGCCTTTTTTAAGTGCACAAGGCTAAAATCTCTATTTTGCAAACGAGAAATCTATGTTCCGACACATCAGATCTATATATACAAGCATTTCTACAAACATGCTGGAAAACAAAAATTGAAGTATAAAAGTCAAGCTTTACTAACAAAAAGTAAAATATTAACAGTAATATTACTTGTTACACTCGAAAATTTCTCTTTAACCTTTGAGTTACTAAAATGGAAAAACAAACTTACTTCGAGAGCCCTTCGTGCTTCTCTCTCTATACAAATGATGGCATGATCAGAAGTGGCATTGCAAGACAATACTATATGTTCAAATCTGCCATCGACAGGCACTGCCGTCCTCACAACTGGTGGAAATCTTCCACATCTGCGTTTAAAAGAGTGGATATATTATCCAGAGTGATTAAGGCTTGATATAATGCCTAATACCTTGGATGAAAAATGTCCGCAAGATTCTGGACTTGAACATTGAATTTAAAGGAATTGTAGAATTTGATTAGTGTTCTATAATGTAAGGTATATAGATGGATGAATATATTTCACGTCAGAATCTGAAAAACTCATACAATTACACTTGGTAGGAAGGAACTAAAAAACAACATCAACCTGCTATAAGTCACCATGTCATGTTGTTGCTTCCAGATTTATCTGTGTTACCAACAATTTACTTTCAAATAACCCAATTATATTATATAAACATTCACATATAATTCTCAAACTGCATTTTAGTTAGTTAGTATACCTGAAAGGTTTACGCTCAACAATGTGATAGAGGCGACCTGGTGCATACAGCCTCCTTGGATCTTTTAGCATTTTCTCCTCTCGTATGCATGTATCTCTCATGCATCTTAAACATAATAAGCAAGGCAAACTGTACAAAAAGTAAATGCATAAAGAACGAAGCTCAATAGTAACAGTAAAACAAGCTAAAGATTGGAGTAGGACCAGCCAACCCTTTACCAGAAAAGCGACTTGAAGATGTCTTCTAAAGGGGTCGCTGTACGAGGCAAGAAATCGTCCTGTCAGTAAAAATGCAGTCTGTTGAAGTGGCGATTATATACCCTTATGTCAAATATATCCTAGCATATGGAACAACAAGTTCTGGGGGATACACAGTCACTATATAATGACAAAAGAGCGACTGAAGTAAATTTTTTCCTAATATTTTTTACAAATATGATATCCACTTAAATAGTTAAATAAAGATTATTTGTTCACACGTTCGGGAGTCTTGTAATTAAAACACTGATGCCATATAGTATAGAGGGCACTACTTTGTGCTCGTGCAGCCAAGGACGTCCCAAAAGAACATTGGTTGGACAGAGATCATTGATAGTATATCCCAGTGACCATGTAAAACCACATGAAAAATGATTATATAATTATCTTTAGAGGCAAAAAATCCACTTGTGCCTGCAGATTTACTCATAAATGTCAAGTAAATGGCACATGCTACAGAGTAGAGCAAAATCAACTTGCTAGATAATATATAAGGGGGATTAAAGATTGAATTTTCTATGTCACTTTGCACATTCGCAAGCTTCTTGATTGAACTAGCTTGAAACAATTTTGCTCTAGTAATGTCGTTCCGGAAAAAATCTCATTGACATCTTCTACATAAAAAATATGAAAAGAGAACTCATCAAAAACGTTAAGTCATCTAATTTCCCTAACTAAAACAGATTACAAAATTAGATCGATGACCTGTGCATTGAAGCAGAAAAATCAAGAGGATATCTCAAAACGAAAAGCCCTTGAGAACATCCAATAACGACCACAATGATCTTTACATAGAAGAATATAAGTTTACACTATTGAAACCAATCCTTCCAGATGACACACACAACAAAAAAAGAAAAAACAAAGGATTTAAGAAATGTGTAGGACTTGCCTGAAGAACAATAGAGCTGATGACATCAGCATATCTTACAGCCAAATTGAGTGACATGCATCTGGCAGGTGCAATAGCATAACACCTGATCCTCTTCCTATCAATGTTAGCCAGTTTATCACGATTCTGAAGAACCACCATTGTCAATAATGCAGCCACGCCCGACCCTAGGGAATGTCCTGTAAAAGTCACTGTATAATTTGGATATTTCTCCACCAATTCCTTCAAATCATCACATTCTGCATTCAAAACACAGCCTGCTGCATTTAACAGCCCATTGTGAACATAACCCCCATCGAATTTCCTTTTCCCCAGCTTATTATCAAGTAAAACTGCGTAATCACTCTCCTTTGCCAGATTAAGGCCTCTAATAGCAAGAACAATGTCGGCATTGTCATGATCAACGTACAATAAATAAGGGGGGGCTCTTCCGTTTGTATCCTTGTAACTTCTTTTTATAATTATCCAATCGGCATTAATTCCATAACCATCAGGAGGCTCCCAAAGAGGGTGTCTGAGATCATCCTCGTAGACAGCCAGTATGTAACGGCATAGCCTGGGAACAGGTTCAAATTCTTCAGGTGTAGCGAATCCCCATGTCTCACTATCGTGGCCTGCACTGTGGAGACACCTTTTCCATGCCCACCGAGCACAAGCCAGACAGTACACACACTCGAGGATGGGAACGCCACAGATAATTGACATCAGCTTCTAATGTCTAGTGGTGCCTTTTAACGTCGATGAAAGGCTTTAACGGATTTAATTTTTATCAAATCACACGAAGATGGAGTATCTATTAATGCTGGAAAGAAGAAAAATGAATTAAAAGCGGTGGCATATAATATAACCTGACCTTCTGAAATATAAAAAGTAAAATAGGAAATTAGACAAGTTTAGAAGACTCAGAGCTAAGGATTAGAGATTCTTCTCTATATTTCATGTGCCTTCGTCACACTTGAGTCGTAATCTCAAAGAAGAAATCAAACAGGAGAAGAAAGGCTGAAATTTTATGATGCGATTGGTGTATAATGCCACTAAGAGAATTCGGGATTATAAATCACTTACATAACCAATCACTTACAATACAAAAATGGGTTTTCTGGTATGTGGCAAAATTTAACCGAATTAAATACCCAAATTTGTACCAATATCATTTAATATCTTCAAATTTGAAAAGAAAACCGTAGTAAAAGAGCGTTCGAAAACGACTTTATTCCAACCCAAGAAAACGACTAATTTTGGGTGGAGCCGATAAATAATAACATACAAATAGCAACAAATTGCCAATGGGCAATTGAATTGAACAAAAGATGGTTCTATTTATAGAGTAAGAAAAGGAACTCAATTACCGCATTGATCGAAGAAATGAAAATCCATCAAAACTGATGAAGAATTTATGGGTTGAAAAATTGATTTCAGCAGCTTTTTTTGCTTGTTTTAACAAGGCTGATTGAAACGAGTTCTGCCCCTATACTAGCAATGGGTGTGCGAATTAATCTTTGCCGTTTTCTGTAAGAAACTCAGATCGCTCAAGTCAACTGAAACTCAGCCACTCAGCCAACTGCAGGATTGTACTACAGAAAAATAAAACCATGTTCATTACAACTGGCTACCAGACAATGGCAGGGGTCCAGGGTATTGTGATTTTTATATTATTTCCGAAAAAATAATCCTTAACAAATAAAAGAGCCACTTTTAAAATTACTGTTCACGTTTTCGTCCACTTAAAACGACGCCGTTTTGGAACTTTTTAGTCCACTTAAAACGACGCCGTTTTGGAAAGAAACGTCGCCGTTTCAACATAGCTTGTTATCAAAAAAGAGAGAGGAA